TCATCCGTGGTTACAGGAGGCAGGTCAGTGTTGCCCAGGCGGGGGAGAACAGGGACTGCAAAGGGGCACGGACCACTTTCAGGGGTGATGGGCACGTGCTATGTCTTGTGGTGGTGATTCGCATGTTTTCAAAGATCAAAACTGATCGACCTCTAAATAGGTTAAATTATTGTACGTAAATTAGACCTTAAGAAGAACACACATCAAAGTATTTCCTTTTGAACTAGGCCAGGCCCGTGAGGCCTGGAAAGGCCCCTGGACACCCAGTTTTAGCCCAAGACTGCATGGAGACGTGGCCCCATGCCAGGTACTGCCTGAGCTCCTTGGAGCCTCAAGTCTCATTTTTAAAATGGGGCTTTTATTGTGGGCTTTACTTACAGGATTGCTATGTTCATCAAGAGCTTATTTAGTGCACATGAGAGCAAGTCTTCTGCTGTAAAATAGCACAAATGTAAAATAGCACAAATGCAGGAGTGCGGCGTGAGCAGATGGTCAGGTTGGGCAGTTAGAGACTTACTTTCCCTGCCCTCCTATAAGATCCATTCAGCTCCAAGTGAGCCATGGTTGGTCTTCCCTTTCCACCCAACACCCCTGGGAAAGCAACTGTAGCCCTCACCCAGAATCAGCCACATTTCACAGATGCTAAGTTGACCAAGTGCTTTCAGAACCAATGGCAGGCACCAGGTAAGCTGGAGAGGGCCAAAGAAACTGGGTATTTTAATTGATGGGCTTCTCCAAGTTCCTCTCAATTCCTTTTGAAGCCAGCTTTGAGCGGCTTTTATCCTTGGGCAGTGAGGCACAGCTAATGCAGCTCCTGACCAGAGAAAAGTTGAAGGCACTTCTTCCAGCTCTTTCTTTGTGCCACTGACGTACTCTTTAACTAGGTGTTGCTCAAATACTCTCAGGGGGAAAAGCACAACCTGACAGCCCAAGGGAATCCTTGCCAAGGACCTCAACAGCCGTCTCACATGCTTCGTTCTCTTCCAGTCCCACACAACAATCATATCTATCTTGCGTCCAGATTATACTTTTAACTGCCCCAAGTCCTTGCCTGCCTTGATATCATCTAGTCTTGACAAAGTCTTGTGAGTTACACAGGACAGGCACTGCCAGGCACAGAAGCTGGTCAAGATATTGATTTTTAAAAAAGGGGTTAAAGAGAAGACCTAGGCATGACAAGTGTCAGTTATCTGACCCCTGTCAGTGTCCTTCACAAGACCCTCTCTCAGTCATTAGGAAGCATTCTAAAGCCACTGGCTGCACAGAAAGTACTAGCCACCAACAGCCTCACACAAACCCCAGCCAAACGAAAAGGCAGAGCTGTGTATCAGCCAGGACTCCCCAAACTCATTGTTCAACGACTGGTTCCCACACTCCACCTCTAGCCACAGAAGAGATAAGCGAGGAGAGCCTCAGTCCCCTCCGCCAAAGTGGGAGGCCAGCAGGGGGCAGTACAAAGTACAGTAGGGTTATTCAAAACCATAACTTGGGTACTGGGCCTGCCCTGCCTTCTCCAGTGATAGATGCAGCACCTCTCTGGGCCCCAGGTGTCCCTCTGCTCAGGCCTTTGCAGGGCACACACACACACACACACTCTGGCTTTCCCTTCCCACCAAACTCACTCCAGTCTTGACAAAGCCGGACCTTCATTTTTAGAACTTCTGGAACAGAGCAGAGCTATTGGGCATAGAATAACAAAAAAAGAAGAAAGGGATAGACTCTTTTGGCCCCTTGAGAGCTTTCTTCTGAGGCGCCCCCAAGGCTCCTTCCCCCCTCTGCTTGCTTACACACAGACAGACAGACAGACACACACACACCTGCCATAGACACCGCCACCCCTCCGCCCTTCTCCAGGTGGCAGGCTCTTCCACAGCAGAGTCTAGGGTGGGCTGAATGTCCTGAGGTGGGATGGAAAAAAGATCCAGGGAGTCAGGAGCTGGAGAGAACACACCCTGAAGTCGCCCTGCTTGCTCGGCACTTTTCCCAGCAGCTCTCTCATGCACTTAAGAAGCATGCATAGATCAATCCTGTCCCACTCAGAGGGAATCAGTGGTGCCCAGCGGGGGTTAAGTGACTTATCCAAGACCACAGGACCTTGCTGGCCCCTGAGCTCTCTGTCAGCCGACCTAGAACCCAGTGGAAGGGCCCCTCCTGCTGCTGCACAGCACTAGGCCCAGTTACAGCCAGAGGGGAAACCAGAGCTCTGCTCACTGGCTGCCACTGTTCTCTCCTTAAAGGGCCACGCTCCAGACATAGTCTCATCCTTTCTCCCCATCACAGCCAAATGTCTCGATCCCAGAAAGCTGTCCCTGCTCTCCCTTGCTCTCAATTTCATCATGCTCCTTCCTCTAGGACTAAGATCCAAAAAGAGGCTTCTCAGAGGCTAAGCCTGACAAAATGAGGTTAAAACTGCTCTCTGAAATTTCAGATGGCCCCAGGGAGAAGTCCCTCTTCTTACTGAACTGAGTTGTTATTAAGGGGCAGACTGACCACATTGGCCTTTCTAGGCTGAAGTAGAAGGGATGCCAGTCTGCGAAGGGAGTGGAAACAGGTCAGGTGATTGTCAAGGGCTCAGCCCACTCGGAGGCAGAGAATTTGAAGGAGACAGAATAGCAAACACAACCTTCCTCCCACCCAGGCTATTTCATCATGACCCACTCTGTCACCGTCCCAGTGGAGAGAGGCTGTGCACATAACAGCAAGAGGAGCTATGGCAGGCCGAATAATGTCTCCTCAAAAGACAGCCATGACCTATTCCCAGGAACCTTATGAGAGAAAAGTAGTTTGCAGATATGATTAAGTGAAGGAATCTTAAAGTGGGAAGATTAGCCTGAATTGTCTGGGAAAGCCCGAAAGCCCTAAATGCCATCACAACTGTCTTTCTAGGAAACAGGCAGAGAGAGGTTTGACACAGAAGCGGAGGCAAAGTGACCACGGAGGCAGAGATTGGAGTGATGTAGCCACAGCCCGAGAATGCCAGCAGCCACCAGGAGCTGGAAGATGCAAGGGCCGGATTCTCCCCTAGGGAGGGAGGGAGCACAGCCCTGCTGTCGCCTTGATTTCAGCCCAGTGACACTGGTTTAGGGCTTCTGGGCTCCAGAACTGTAAACAAAAAAATGCCTGCTGTCTTCAGGCACCCAGTGTGTGGCAGGTAACCCGTTCCAGCAGCCAGGGAAACTGATAAAGCAGCTCACTGTGTGCCAGGCACTGCACTCAGCATTCTCCCCACGTTAACTCACCCTGGCCCTGGATACAAGCCTATGCTGAGCACACGGCCTGGATTTGAATCCCAAATGCACTTACTGCTGTGACACTCGACAAGTTCCGTAACCTCTCTAAACCTGTTTCCCAATTCATAAAATGGGCGTACAGTTGCCTTTCTCATTGTGTGGCTGGGACAATAAGATGACTAATACGTAAAGTGCTTAGTACTGTACGTAGTAAGTACTCAGTAAATGCTAGCTATTATGAAATCTCAGAGTTTGAACAAGTCAAAATTACTCCAATTTTGACCATCATTCTAATATGTCAGGACATGGACAAGGCCTCCTGGACCCTTTAAAGTTAGTCTGAATAGCAAACATGATGGTCTTCGTAGTTAAGTGCTTCTTCCCCTAATTAAACTATGCAGGTCCTAGCACTGGCCCCATTTCTTAAAGGGAAAATGCCTCGGACTGTGCTAACTCTGCAGCACTGCCCAGCGACTCCGGGCCCCTATGTCCCTTTCTTAAGGAGAACTGTGCACATTCATCATCCACAGGAAGGACCTACCCAGCAGCACCCACACCTGACATACCCCGCGGAGCCCACACCCTCTCTCTGCAACTCTGGCATCAGCAACTGGAGCCCTGGTGCTTGGAAGCCAGTGGAAGACAGAAGTATCTATCGGTCCATTTCAGGCCTTTCAAGCAGGCTGCGTGGAATGAAAAACCAGGGGTCTGCTTGGATTAAGACGTAACGGCCAGGTTAGTAAAGAACAGAGCCCGCCCAGAGACCAGGGAAGGAACACCTGAAAAATGGGGCAGAAAAGAACTTTCACTAACTTCATTCGCCCTTCCTTAATAAAGTTTGCCCGACTCCCCCTTCAGGGGGTGCAATTCAGAGAAGCAGCGCCACAGGATCCCAGGCAGTGTGGCCCCACCTGAGAAATCTGCAGGCAACCAAGGGAGAATGGCCCAGCCATGGCCTTGACTTCCTCCTAGGTGAGGTTCCAACCCCACCACCTCTGATGCCCGGCTTCAGAAGGCTCCTGCTGCCTCTTGCTGGCGAACAGGCCTCTTCGCAGCAGGCTGCAGGGGCAGCCACCTGCGCCCTTTCTGCCATTGCCTGCCTACCCCACCCTCCAGGGGGAAGGATGAAGGAGGACAGCGCCCCCTCCTTACTCTCTCGCACCCCCAGACATCTATGCTGCCGTCACCACTGACGAGAAGCGAGAACCCAGGTTCCCTAGAGGAATTGCTTCTCCTTCCTTCCTCCCTATCAATGAACACGCAGCAGCACCCACGCTCCCGCCCCTCCTACTCCGGAGGGAGACGGAACAGGAGCGCGCGGCATCCGGAGCTGGAAGCTGCTGCAGTGGGTGGGCCGGCCTCCCTGCCCGGCGGTCCCAGTCCCTTTCCTAGCCCTCTACAGGATCCGAAACCAGCCTAGCGCTCCGGATCCAGAGGGCGCCTGAGTCCCCAGTAGGGCCCGCCTCCCCAGGGTCCGAGAGACACCCGAACTCAGCCCCACGGCGGAGGCCTGGCGCTGGGCAAGGCACCCGAACTGGAACCCGGTGTCCTCGCCCTGAGGCGTGCCTACCCTTAAGCAGCCCCAGCAAGCTCCGGCCCCGCGCCCAGTGTGAAGGCGTGAGCGCCGGCTCCTGCGCCCCATCAGCCCCCAGCAGGAGGTGGGCAGCGGGGTGCGCGCCGCCCGGACGGCAGGCGCGGGAGGCGAACCCGAGCGAAGCCGAGGGCCGGCGCGGTAGGAAGGGTGCTGCGGCTGGGAGCATCGGCACTTACGCGCGGGCTCTGGGGAAGCCCATGGACAGGAGCACGTCCAGCGCAGATCCATGCTTGACGGTACCGGGGCGCTGCTGGCGGGCCCTCCGCGGGGTGACTTTGCTGTACAGTTCCTCCCGCGCGGCCATGCCCAGCGGGCCGGGGGCGCCGTACTGTGCCATGCTCAGCGGCCATCCATCGCCGGGGACCCTAGCTGGGGCTGGGGCTGGGCGTGCCTCGGGGCCGCGGGCCGGCTGAAGGTGGCGCGCGGAGCTCGGCGAGTGTCGCGATCCGGGCGCTTCCTGGTGAGGCCCCCGGAGCCAGTCGGCCAGCGAGCGGCTCCGGCCAGCGGCTGGGGCCTCCGGGACCAGCGCGGCGCCGGCTGCAGGTCTGCTCCTCCGCCCCCTTCCTTCTCCTCTCCCAGCAGTCCGGGAATTTGCAATGAGTAATTTTTGAATGGATCAAAAAGGACAAGACGCCTGTGGGCTGGCCTCCTGGCCTGGGCCGGCCCCGCCCCTCTCTTAAAGCGGCCGCGCGCGGACGCAGCTGGAGGCGGGCCCGTGGCGGAGTTCCTGCTCCGGGGCTGGCGTGCTACCCTGGAGCCTGCCCTGCAGGCGTCTTCTTCCGAGGGCCGTTCCCAGCGCCTCTGCCTTCGCCAAGGCTGGTACAGACGGCCGCTTGGGCCTTAAGGCACCGCATTAACCCAGTTCCAGTTTCCTGTGGTTCTAGATGGGGTTAATAATGGAAACTGAGAGAACTGATGGATGACATTAATGAACTAGAAGGCCAAGCCAGAGGCCCAGATAAAAGGTTCTGCTTCCAAAAGACCCTGCACAACCCAGGGGACTGTTACAGCCATTGAAGAACAATTCACTCCCTCGTCCGGACACAGGGCCACACCGAACACCTACCACGCTCTACGAGACAGAGATGGTGACGTCAGTACAAAGAGTGGGACCTCAGGCTGTCAGGCCTGGGCGGGGAGAAGAAAGGGGGAGGACGGGGGCTGAAAGAGGAAGAGGGAGGGGAAGATGAAAGGAGGAAGGAGGAGGAGAGAGGAAGTGGGAAGTGGAAGCAGGGTGGAGGGAGCAGGGACAGAGAAGCCACTCTTACCAACTGTACTTACATTCACATGTCATAAGAGAATGAGTGCCTGGTCAATAAAACGGTCCAGAGGAAGAATGGATCATTACTGGTCAGCAGTGAGGAACAAGTGAATTGCTTCCCAGGTTGGACAAAGCCACTGCTACCTCAAATGTGGTGGATTTCCTACCCAACCCATTCCCCCATGCTCCACACCAGGAGGTGGGCTGGGAGCGGTTAAGGCTCTTGCATTTAGAGATAAATTTGTTTTCCACAGTCAGGGACAAGCAGCCCACGTGGTGCAATGGAAAAGGCACAGAGTAAACCCTAGCTGCTCCTCTTTCTCAGGTAATGATAATAAAACTGTCAATGTAAGAGACATTTGAACCCGCAGAGAATTCTTGGTGAGTTTATTTGAGCCAAACTGGCGACAGTTGCCAGGAAGCAAAATTTCTACGAAGAAATGCCCCAGAGAAGGGCAGTTTGGCACCTTGTGTTGAACACAACCAAAAGAGGAGGCCTAAGGAGCTACAGGGAAATCCATGGGTGAGAGATTAGGGAGGAGGTAAAAAGCAAACCTGGAGCGGGAGTGAATCTCTGAGACTGGACAAAAGGTAAAGTGATAGACACATACTTTTAACAGTTAATGATGAACATGATAACAATGAGGGGGTTGTGGTCTCTGGTGCAGTGCCTGTGCTTTGAGGGGTCCAGAAAAAGGAAACTTGACATTCCAAAGGTATGTTATCTTAGGTGCAAACAGACAACAGGCTCAGTTAAAATAGAGACTGACCTTTGTTAGGGAAAAATACCCGTCTAGGGCATGACCGCCCATCATGAACTGCTTTTAGTTAGAAAGGTTTAATTTCAGACTATCCTATGTGTTTCCTTTGGTCTCTGAGTTTGTAAGGCCACCACGAAGTCCTCCCCTGAGTTTGTCGGGTTTAATATGTGGCCCCTCTTTTCCCCACAAAACCTAACATTTATCAAACTCTTATATGTGTCAGCTGTTGTGCTAAACATAAGAAATTAATTAACTCATTGAATTTTTACAAGGACCCTATGAAATGGATATGAGAATTATCTTAATTTTACAGGTGAGAAAACTCCGCTCAGAGAGGCTGATGTCACGGTGCTGGTAAGTACACAGCCACAGCCTTTACCCACTGGTGCTCTGAACAAGTTGCTTCTGCCTTCTGCAGCCCCAGGTCTCATCTGCATGCATTCTAGTGCCTTACACAAGTGCACAAGCGTGCGTGCACACACACACACACACACACACACACACACACACGGTTCTCCACAACAGGTCAGCTCCTTTCCCTTTATGGAGTGAGGGGGAGGGATGATGACCAGCATTCCTGAGCAGCTTTTTAATGTTGCTTTAAAAGGCATCTTAAAGTTTAACCAGGGGAAATGACAGTTTAATTCTTTTAGCCCAGAATTGGTTTTCAAAAAAATACCCAGTGGTATATGAAAGTGGGGAGATAAGGACTAGTGGAGCTTATACAACAATGTGCATACTTTTGTCTCCTCTTGCTGTGTAAGGCAGAGGGGAAAGTTCACACTTCCTGGGTGGGAGATTCTGCCACAACAGAGGAAGTGTGCTGGAGCCTTGCAGGGGGCTTTTCCAGGGTGTGGCAAAGAGACAGAACTGGGCTGGGAAGCAGTACCTAGTAGACTTCTCTTTGGGGTGGGTTCATAAAGGAGACTGGACCTTACCCAATATTCTGAATTTCTTCCTAATGCCTGCACTTAAGGTCAAGACTTGGAAGTTCTTTGTAAGCCATAAGCACTACACAAATAATAACTCAAATACATTGAGAACTTACTATATGCTAGTGCTGTTCTTAGGTTCTTACACATACAACTCATTTACTCTACCAACAAGGCAATAACTTAACTACTACTATATGATCATTGGCTACTTTACAAATAATATTGAGGCAGACAAAGGTCAAGTATTTTTTGCAAGATCATATAGCTAGTAAGTGGGAGAACCAAGATTTGAACTCTTAAAAAAACAAAACAGGATTTGAACAACCATTTACCATTTTTATGATGATGAGGAGATGCCAACCATTAAAATAACTTGGTTGCCTTTTGACTCCTTTTATGTCCCTTGACACAAAACTCCTGAATCTCTCTTTCTCCAGAAAAAGTGAGTGAACTGTCTTTGTGGGGGAGGAAGAAACTTTACCCTCAAGTTTTTTTCAGCTGGTCTAATAATAAAATACACATAAGATGGATTAGCAAGAGAAAATAACCCAACTTAGTCTACATGCAGGCATGGGAACCCGGCACACACAAGAGAGTCAGAGAGACCCCGCTTGCAGGAGGTTCAAAGACAGAACCAGAAAACGGGTCTCCAAGATATTCTGACTGCAGGTAAGATGCCCTGAGGGCCTCAGAGGGTCCTTGCAGTCCAATGAGAACAGCAGATGTTCCGTAATTACAAGTTTACCCTTCCCAATAGATAATCTCTTACTATGGGCAAGGCCCCTTCCTCCGATTCTTCCAGGTAGTTAAGATGAGGCAGAAGTTTCTCGAGCTCGCAGCTGGAGCTGAAGTTGCCATAAGCTCAAAACAATCAGCCTACCACAGAGGTGACTTTCTGAACCCCTACATATTTCTCCCTCTAGAAAAACTGTGAGGAAATGATGGACATAAAAGTAGTTTTAGGTAGCCTGGGAAAAAAGCACCAGGGAAAGCCTGACACCTCGGATGGAAACTACTTTGTCTGAGGCACTTTTGTGGGAGTCCCAGGGCCTCTGCTTCCTCTCTTCAGCTCTGGGCCAGCACTCGGACTCTCACCATTTATCTGGCAGGAGGGAGGGGGCTGACAATTAAGGTGCATTGTGTTTTAATTGCACTGACTTATAAAAGCTAGGGGAAGCTTTATAAATGTCCATATTATTTTACAAGAGAGAAGTGACTGGGCTATCTGATGGGAGGAGGAGTGATGCAGGTGGGGCCTGGCGCCTGAGGGAGCTGCCAGTGGGCCTGGAGCTGCCTCCTCCAAAGGGAAGGGGCGGGGAGGAGAGGGGAGGGGAGGGAAAGCGGTCGTCACGGACTCCCCCCACCCCTCACCACAGTGAGTCTCATCGTGTGAGCTCCGTTTAACTGCACCCCCACTCTCCCCAGTCCTTTTCTTGTTGTGTTAGCCCTTCTGAAAGGGGCGCAGAAACATCCAGCACACGCCCAGTTAATTGAACTCCTGGTTTCTAAAGTGGTCCTCTGTCTTCCTTCTCCCCTGGGCCCTTGAGGAAAGCCCACATGACTGCATTAAGAACAAGCAGTAAGCTCTGCAGGAGGTCCCCGGTCGTGAGGTTTGGGATGTGGCCTTGGCAAATAGAGGTAGTGTGTGAACCCTGGGAATGGTTCTGTTCTTCAAGGGGATTCCTCCCAGCCCAAAGATTTGGAAACCCTGTGGTTAGGAAAGAAAGGAAAGAGCAAGTAAGGGCTCCAAACCTCAGAACCATGCTGACTATGACTTAAAACATGTTCTCTGTCCCTCTCTGGGTCTCAGCTTCCTCACCTGGCACATGAGGGGCTGGCTTAGGCTGGGAATTCCTAGGACTTTGACAAGAGACTCATTATGGCCAGGGGTTGGGGCCACTCACCTGGAGGAAGTGGGTGAGGCATGGAATGTCTCCTCTTTTCAGAGCAGCTATAATTTTCCAGCTGTATGGATGGTTTCCTGTAGGAAGATGGTGTGAGGGCGTCCAAACTTTTGGCATCTCATGGCCACACTGGAAGAAGAGTTGTCTTGGGTCACACGGTAAATACATTGTGACACATAATCAGAAAAAAATCATATCGTGTTTTAAGTAAATTTACGATTTTGTGTCGAGCCGTGTTCACAGCCATTCTGGGCGGAATGCAGCCTGTGGACCATCGGTTGGACACCCCTGGAACGTGATCAAAACACATTTAAAAAAACACTGTACCGGGTGATCTTTAATGCCCAGTTTAGTTTGAGAGACCATAATTTAATAAAAAGGAAAGTAAGGAGGAATGGAGCAGGGTCGGTGAGAGGGGGACGAGATTGCTGGGAGGGAAGGACAGGTCGGGTGGGTGGGGAACCTGGGGAAGGGTCTTCTACACGGGCAGTTGTTCCACCATTAGAGGAAATTATAATTACGGGACTCAAAGTGCTTCAGTTGCCAGTACGGCAGCATTAATGCATCACATCGATATGCTGTACACTTTAAACTCACAATGTTTTTATCAAATTAGGTCTAAATTAGATTAAATTAAGATTAAAAAGTTATGTCATTTGTACCCTGTCCTGACACATGGTTGTAACAGAGCTAAGCACCTGGAGGCTGGTGACTGCTTCCCAGTCTGGAATTCGTCCCTGGGACTTTGCACAGTGCCAGGGACACAGGAGGTGCAGGGCAGAGTCTCCGTGGTGGCCGGCGGGTAGCCAGGCTACAGAGCAGGAAGAGCGAAGGCTGAAACAAGTTTGCAGCAGCACACCAAAAAGTGGCTTGTATATTTCACACACAAAGAGAAAGTAAGGTTTCTCCCAATTGCAAAAGCAAAATACAGGTGGAAGAGTGTCTATTTTTATTTCTTTTTCGCCCATCTCTGAACAAAATCCCAGCGCGTCTATTCCAAAATGCTCCTAGAAGACCCTCCGGGGTCCACGTTTCCCTGCGTAAAGGCCTCCCTGCCCCACGGTGTGTGTGGGTGTCCTAGACTTGCCACACACCAACAGAGGTGTTGTGGAGCAAACAGTATGCACTAAAAATGTTTTTTCCTCTTCTTCTCACACAACTTCCTTTTTTGTACAAAATGAACTATTTTAGCAGCATAAGGAGAAATTTTGTTTCTAAGAAATAGAATTAAGTAGATATAAAAATGTAGATATGGAGAGAAAAACTTGACTTAAAAGAGTACAAATGATGCAATCTCTGAGCATTGGACACCAGGACCCCTCGCTGGGTAGGCAGCGGAGGGGCAGAAGGAAGGACGGAGGCAGGGTGTCTGCTGGCTTGTCTGTGTTTACATTTTCATGGTGACCATTGATGCATGTGCCTCTCTTGTGGCTTATACTGTAGGAACACATGTTAAGGAATTCAGTGGAAACTTGCTTCCTTGCTAATACTTTAAAAGTATAGATCAAATGATGAATTCTCTTTAGGAACATTACACTTTGTGGACTTGGCTGCTTTACGTCTCATTCTTAATTGAACATTAAGGGAATGTAGTAGTTTAGTTGTAACTCTGCCAATATCTTTATCTAGGGGACTGTTTCCATTTTTGTCTTTTATGAAATTTTTTTGTCACCCAAAAAGGAACAATTATATATCTTTTTTCTTCCAGATTCAGCTGGTGTAATGTATTCTTGGTTATCAAAATGAGGCAGGACAGTGAGAAGCGAGGAGAGTTCCTTGGCGAGTGGAATAGGGAAACTCAGATTAGTAGCTGAACAAGCCGGCTGGGTGATTTACAGCCAGATACAGAGGCACTTCCCTGGAGACAACATCGAGGCCTCATTTGTGTTCCAGCTCCAGGCCCAGAAAAGCAGCATGACCAGGTGGACGACCCCAGGACCAGCTACAATGACTGATGACACCCTGTCCCGCCCTGACCAACCAGTAGAGCCTAATAAACTAAAAGGGTGCACCTGGAGAACTGATGCATGTTCTGCTGGAGTTTTCTCTAGAGACTTAAGATTTCCACCAGCGAGAGAGAGATAAAAGCCTCAAGACAAAGGACCCAGTGTTCTCTCCCTCTGGGCAGCAGCCCAATCCATTCCCTTCCCCCTCTTCTTCCCCCACAGGTGTGCATCTCCTAAACTCTAAGAGTCCTCAGGAGACTTGCATCCAGGGTAGCAATGGGCAGTGGCACTGGTCCCAGGCTGATCCCCTGAACTTGTCCCCAAGGCCCCCTTTTCTCTGGCTTCCCAGTGAGTCAAAACAGCCCAGCCTGGGCTCCCCTGTTGCTTCTTCTATGCTGAGCCCTTCCTCGTTCCACTGTCCCCAGCTTTAATAAATGCACTCTCGTAGCCCCCTGGACTCATGTTGTGAAAGCTTTCCTACATGAAGCCAAGAACCCTCACATGACATCTGGTCCCAGGCGGACACGCTCAGGCCAGGTCCCCATCTGGTAACAAAAATACACATGTACCTTTGGGACTTTGAAATGTGAAAAAGCAGGAAACATAATTGCGCGATCTTAATTGCATAAAAGCAGATGCTCAGCTGTTTCGTAGGTACACACGGGACCTAGAAGAACACATTGATTTGTGAGCTGCTTGGGATTATGGATGACTTTGCTCTTTGCTTCTGTGTTTTTCAATTTCCTATTTTCACTTTTTGACAATAAATGTTATTTTTAAAACCTGAAAAAAAGAGGGGCCTCGGAGGCTGCAAAATAAAATTTTTGAATATTTCTTTTTAAAAAATGTAAGAAAATGCAATTCAGTGAATTTTTGTGGAACCGTGTACATTGATCTTATTTTTCCAAATCATGCATGATATGTAATATAAACATGAATAACTTATGACCTATAAAAGGAGTAAAACTTTTGTTATGCCAAGTCACAGGCAGAATAACACTCTCGCAGGGACATTTCTTCCCGCGAGAAGATTCCACATTCTGGAAACTAAAATATTACAAGTGTCTGTTGCTGCTCCCCTCGCCCTCACTCCCATTCAGTTGGCTGCCCCTCTGCCCAGACTGTTTAGAAAGTGCTTAGTTGGACTTTATGACAAGTCCTATTCTCAGATTGGGTTATAGGTTTGGGAAAGTAAGCAAAATAATACACCTCAGTTTCTCATCTTTAAAATGGAAACATTATGTACCCCATAAGGTTTTTAAAAATATGTTTATGGATTTTAGAGACAGGAAGGGTCAGAGAGAGAGAGAGAGAAACATCTCAATACGGGATGGATTGTTTGCCTCCTGTATGCACCCTGACTGGGAACCGAACATACAACCTTCGGTGTTGTGAGACAATGTTCCAACCACCTGGGCCGCACCAGCCAGGGCCCTCATAGGGTTTTGGTGATAACTAAGTGAATCACAAGGATGAAAGCACCAAGCTCCAGATGTTTGCTGAGGGCTTAATGGAGATGGCTTCTTTTACCTGTGCACTACTGCCCCTTCCTCATGACAGTTGTTCCTGTACTTTCTTTCTGATTAGACCTTGGATGGCAGAATTAGATTATTTACAATTCGTGGTTCACATATGGTTCAATTTTAGCTATTTAGCTGGTTGTTTAATCAGTTCATGTTTAATAAGCACATACAAACCCTTTGCCTAAAACAAGCCAGGATAATAACTATGTCTTACTAGATGACCGCTCCCCGATCAACGAACGCACCCCTGCCTCCTGTCCCCAGGTGTCTTCACTCTGTGTCCTATGTCCACCGTTCTGTTTTCATTTCATATAATTTTACTGAATTTATAAGTCATCCTAATGAATATTACTTTAATTTTTAAAAGATATTTTTCATATCATAAAAGAGTATAATGCTGTTTGTAATTTTGGAGGATTTACCATTTTTGTTGAATAGTGTATGGCTAAGGTAAGTACATACTGTTGAATACAGGGTAATCCACTGGTTTTATAGCTGTGTAGTAGTCAACTCTCCTGTTAATTCATGTTTGAATTAGTTCCAAGTTTTTGCTTTACAATTTTAATGCTATGAACACTCTTTACATGTCTCCAGCTGTACGTATGCAGGAATAACACGTGGGGATATCCTAGGAGTAGGATGGTTGGGTCATCTTCAAGTTAGGAGTCAGTGCAGAAACGTTTTCCAAAGTGGTTACACCAATTCACCTTCCTGCCAGCAGCACATATGGGATCTCTTTGTGTTGTGGCTACATAATTGTTCTGTAGTCCAGGCTATTGTACAAGCCACCGAGGATCATTGGAGGCAACACACAGAGTTCAACTGTATGGGCTGTATGTTTGACTTCTACTTTATTCCTTATTAGTCATGTGAACTTGAACAAATTCACTCATACAACAATTATTCACTGAGCATCTACTCTGAGCTGAGGACCCAGAAATTAACAGGATAGAGTCCAGTTACCAAGAACCCTACATTCTAGTAGGAAGAGACAGGCAGTGGATAAGTAAATATAAAGTCCATACGATGATAAGTGCTACAAAGAAAGAAAAACAGGATAATGTGCTGAAGAGTGACAGAGTGGACAGCTCCTTTAGCAAAAGTGGGTAAGGAAGGTCACCTGTGTAAACGAGACATCAGAGCTAAGATCTGAATGACAAGAAGGAGGCAACCAAACATGTGGAGGAGGGACAGAGTTTTAGGAAGAGGACACAGTGAACGCAAAGGCTGTAGGGCAGGAACACTCAGACAAATGAGAAGAAGGCCAGAGAAGCTGAGGCATAGTAAGTGAGGGCAGCATTAAGACAGGCAGTGGGCATGTCAGAGTCAGCTCAATTAGCTGGTGGGAGTATACCATTAAATTTTCAGGAATGCTTGGAGTCTGTTGTTATACCATTAGTAGGTGGAGAGCAGCTGTGGTGGAGTATTTACACCATGAAAACTGGCAAACACTTCCTTAGGGTCTCCCCCTGACCCTGAGAAATATGTGTGTGGAAGAGCAGGGTGAGGGGAGGGACATATGCTACTAAACAGGTAAAATTTTAAAATGCAACATGCTCATCAATAGACAAGCAGATAAAACAGCTGTGGTACATCTACAAAATGGAATACTACATGGCCATAAAAAAGAAGGAAATCTTACCTTTTGTGACAGCATAGATGGACCTAGAGGGTATTATGCTAAGTGACATAAATCACTCAGAGAAAGACAAATACCATATGATTTCACCTATATGTGAAATAAAGAATAAACAAAATAGAAACAGACTCATAGAGCACAGGCTGACAGTTGACAGAGGTGAGGGCAGTTAAGGGGCTGGGTTTAAAAGGTGCAGGGATTGAGAAGTACAAATTTGTTCTTTCAGACTAGTCACAAAGATGTCAATTATAGCATAGGGAATATAGTCAATAATATTGTAATAACTACATTTGTTTGGGTCAGGTAGATACTTAAGATACTGAGGGGACCACTATAAAGTACATGATTGCCTAGTTACTATGCTGTATATCTGAAACTAATACAGAATAACATCAAATGTACACTGTAATGTAAAAACACAGTTAAACAATAAAAAGAAGTATATATATATCGCTCAACCACAAAAAGATTAAATATTGTATTTATGACAACATGGATGATCTTGAGGGTATTATGCTAAGTAAAAGAAGTCAGAAAAGGACAAAAAGCTATGGCATGATTTCACTCATGTATGGAATAGAAAAAAAAGTAATGAACCAAGTAAACAAAACACGAACAAACTCCTGGACACAAGCAACAGAATAGTGGTTGCCAGAGAGGAAGAGGGATGGGGAAAGGCAAAATGGGTAAAAAGTGTCAAATATATGGTGATGAATATAAATGAGACTTTTGGTGGTGAGCATTCAATAATGTATACAAATATCAACTTATTATACACCTGAAATTTATAGAATATTATTAACCAGTTACCTCAATGAAGTATTTTAAATTTTTTAATTAAAAAGAAGAGACAGTTACTGAATCTCTCAAAACTTAATCTTCAGTGTTGCTGTGAGAATTACTTAAGTTTCTTCACATAAAAAACAGGGCACACAGTGAATCCTTGGTGGCTAAGGAGTGCTTGCCGCACCTGCCACTTTTCACACTTCTTCCCCAGCTTCCCTACCCTCCAGCAGTCTGTTTATGATGGCCCTAGAGAAAAAAGAACAAGCACATGTGGAGTGGTCACTACAGGTTAGAGGTCTTTCCATATTAGCAATGCTGTCAGGCAGATCTCTACATGGAAATTTACTGATAAATCTGTTGAAGTTCAAAGAAATTATATAATTTGCCCAAGGTCACACAGCTACTAAATGCTGAAACTAGTATTGAAAATGAAGACATCTGAATCTACCATCAGGGCACATTACAATGAACTTTAATTGATTAATACCAATAAAAGTATTTTAATAGGCAACCGATATCAGTGGACACTTTATTTGGATGTGCTATTAAATGAACCATGTGGCTGCCTGAACCCACAGGTCAAAAGTGTTCAAAGACGCATGAACAAAAAGAGGTTGCAGCATAACTGCTGTTCAAGTAATTTTTACTAAACTCGCCAGATGATCAGGAGACTCACAAGTAAAAGACAAACAAAATTCTTTCTTCCTCACTCCTTGCCTTCTGTATAATGGAATACCCAATATATTTGGATATTGGGCTTAAAGACGGGGGTGGCTTCAAGGAGTATAAAGTCTAGAGAATGACAATAATGATCAGACTATGACACCACAAAATAATTGAGAGATAAAAATTTTCCTAAGTTGCTACAGGGGCAAAATGAGGGAAGTATGATTTGGAAAGTTTCCCCAGAGAAGGTGATGTTTGAGCTGGACATTGGAACATCAATATAAGTTAATTTGATGAGGAATGAGGTAGTGGGGATGGGATGAAGCTGGGAAAAAAAGAAAGGATGTTCCAGGTGGAGAGAATACCAGGTACGAAGGCCAGCTAGGAGAAAGATCATGTCATCTCTAAAGACCTGCATAGTAGGAACACGGGTTTGGGGAGAACGCGGTAGGTCCAGACACTGGAGCAGGGTTGGATAATTTAGGTTATTGCAAGACCAGACTTATTTATACGTAACATTTTCCGAGCTGATGTGTCCCCAGCTCTCACACTGTGTTGAGAAATTCATCATTACCTAATGACTGGGTTTGCAATCCCAAACCACTTGGAATCTAGGGTGGTATGAACTGAATGTTTGTATTCCTCAAAATTTACATGTTGAAATCCTAACCCCTAATGTGTTGGTATTAGAAGGTAGGGCTTCTGGAATAACTAGGTCATGAGGGTGGAGCCCTCATGATGGGCGTTGTACTCACAGAGGGCAACCTAGAGAGCTCAAGTAAGATTTATTCCAGGGATGCAAGACTGGCACAACATGTGCAAATCAATAAATGTGATATACCACATAAATTAAATGAAGGATAAAAGCCACATTATCATATTAATAGATGCAGAGAAAGCATTGGATGTACTCATTTA